AGGCACATCTAAAACATGCAGAGCAGGGGGGCGGTGAGGACCAGGGTTGAGAAACACTGATCTAATTTAACTTCAGATAGTGAGGGGGGAAAGTTTCCAGCATTATTCTAAGCATGACAAATGTAAATGTACATTTTCCCCCCAATCCTATTAGGATCCAGTTTATTTTAAAATTGCTTCCATTATATGAAATGGAAGCAAGAAGAAACATGCGTTTCTATGAAATTAGACGCCGTCAACCTGCTGGAGATGTTTTTAAGGAGTCACACACACTTTCCCCCCTACTTGTCCAAGTTCTTCACATTACAGCTTAGAATGTGGAAAGAAAAACTTTGCACTGTAGCTGCTGGTTTCTGAAAAGTGCCCAGTATCGCATCCGGTTTATTTTTTTACATCAGTCCATTTTTGCTTCGGGAAACACACCTCGTTTTCAGCAAACACAGCCATCCCAGGACACAACACCTTGGACCCGCACCGCTGACACAGGACAGATTTGATGTTCTTCCCGTCCTCAGACACCAGGTCGGATCGCTCAGTGCCTTCTTTGTCCATGTTGAGTCCTAATGAGCAGTGAATTTACATTCATATATACAGATGGGGATGCTTACTACAGCGGTTCTTCAATCGGGGAATCACATCAATATAAATGACCAGTGATATCTCAACATTATACGGTTGATCCATTAAAGCCCTAATGTTTAAACGGAACCAAGCCTGAGCTCATAGGGCGATTGGACCCCGGAACTAGGGCTGTGGAGAGCGGAAGTACAAGTAAAAACGCTCAGTGTTTTATAAACATCAGGCTGCAAAACTATAATCTCAAGTGAGAAAATCAGGATGAGCCGCCTCTCAAATTTACGCTAAAATATGTATAAAAACACTGAATTCGACCCACGCCAAATGAAGAAATGACTCAGCGGGACGCTTTGAACATCATTCATGCATAATTACATCGAACAATTTAAGACGTACCTGAGTTATGACGCTGAGACAGTAATTATTCAGAAAAACAATCTGCCGAGACAGTCAAATTAGCCATTGGAATGCTAGCTGATGTTACGGTGCGGCCCTTAAATGCGTCCGAAGCGAAACAACCAACCGCGGGAAGGTACCGCATCCAATGATATGTTGACCACATCACAAAGGGTTGGTTGAAAGCGTTTCTTTCAACCTTAATGTGTTCAGATAAAGCACAAGTGTCAAACTCCAGTCCTCAAGGGTCGCTGTCCTGCAACTTTTAGATGTGCCTCTGCTGCACCACACCTGAATAGAATAATTAGGTCATTAACAAGGCTCTGGATAACTTATCTACACAAGGAGGAGGTAATTACGCCATTTCATTCCACTGTTTTGTACCTGTGGCACATCTAAAAACTGCAGGACAGCGGCCCTTGAGGACTGGCGTTTGACAGTAATGATATTTGTGAAATGAAATACTAATATTCCTGATTGAATTATTAATTCTAAGTTATTTATATGAACTGTCTTTCTAATGTTGGTGAGGTTAATTAGATCTTGGACTGAAAAAAAAACCAGATTTAATTCTCAAATTTCCTGAATTTATTCCACATTACACGTGATATTTTCATGAAACTTTTAACACCTAGGGTCTTAATATAAGTTAATAACCATTAAGAGACTAATGGTTATTAAGTTATTTATTAAACTAAGTTAATAACATTAGTTTTAGGGGTTTTAGTGATTTTGAAACCCAAATGATAACACATGTCATTTTTAACCATGTTTGCCTTTGTTTTTTGGAAGAATTGTTTCACATCTTTATGTTTATGTCCTTAATATGTTAATAACATGCTACAAAATAAAATGTAATAAAGTAAAGCATGCATTTCAAATATGTTGAGTTAGTTTGATATGTTGTCGGTTTAGCTTTATTTAGTAGAATACTCTAAAATTAAAATGATATATCCTGCTTGTTTAGGATATGTTTATTTTGAGATAAAAAAAATGGCAAAGCATAGAAAAACTCTGCTTAGATCTACATTTTTTTCTTGTTTCCACCATTTTAATTTCTTTTCCCACATTCAAACCTGTAAAACGCTAAGAAATTCCATGTTTTCAAGGTGTGTATGACACAGTAAAAATGCTAAAAATAATAATAATAATAATAATAATATAATATGGTGTTCTTTGACCGCTATCTCTGGTTATTAAAAAAATATATAATTTTTATCAAAAATTACAGGTGGCACAATTTTTGAAATTTATTTTTTAATACACACCGAGTTGATGAGAGTTTTTTTTGGCAGCTATGTAATCTAAACTCCTGTTTTCCTGGGGTATAAACAGGAGTTTATAACCCGCTTACATACTTTGGTATGTAAGTGGCCCCAATGCTGGGCCCATATTTATCAGCACAGACAGTGAGCAGGATGTTACAGGTAGTAAAAAATGTCCAAAGTGGTGTCTGAATCATGTTGTAGAGATGTCTTTTTTCTTCCCCCTGAGGCACAAAGAAGTTGATGGAAAGATTGATGGCGCTAAATACTGGAGAGTAGGGATGAAAACCTGCTAGAGGCTTCAAAAGACTTAAGACTGAGACAGAGGCTCAACTTCAAGCAGGAGAAAAACCCAAAAAACATGCAGACAGAGGTACAGTGTGTTACTGAGGTTTGGACTTAAACTGAGTATCTATAGAAAACGGTTTCTCCTGATGGTACAAGCAAAACTATCCACTCAAAATATCCACTTCAATGTGAGGAGATAGTAAAGAGTTACAAATACTTTTGTATGCAAGCGTTACTGGCTACTTGTGTGTTTTAAAATGTACAGTGGGAAAATAAAACAACATCCTCTTACATATGGAAAAGAATTTATTACAATAATTTTCCAATATTACCATTAATAAATATTTAGATTTACATTTCAAAGAAATGTATGATTTTTTTTTATCACCTTCTACACAGAACATTACACAAAGTCAGGGATACTCATGTTTAGTCTTTGTAATAAAGCTTGAATAAGATCATCTAGAAAAAGGAGTCTTTTAACAGCATTGTGTACAACCTATCAATGGAACTGCAACTTTAATAATGATTTGATTGGATGCATGGTGAGGAAAACGAGAAAATAAAACCCCTAAATCCTGGATGATCCTTTGACTGTAAAGGATAGGCCGTTTTATTTAAAAACATTTCCGTTGGCGTAAGGCACAGGAATACTCAAAAGTTTCTACCAATCATCCAGAACACATTTTAAACCTCATTTGATGATTTTACAGTCTTGAATTTAATCCTCTAACGTACGCAAGGTGCGCTAAATGTTTACACCTCTTTACATCTGAAATCAAGCAGTAAAGAAAAACCTACAGTCGACTAAGACGGAGTTTGATCGCCAATTCAGATCCGTACATTGGTCGCAGCTCAAGAGCTGCCAACTAAGAGTTTATAATTGAAGCGTTATTCCTAATTGATCTGCGATGGGATGAAGACTTTGTCCCAATGTAACCTGAACTAGGTTTATTTTTACACAGGAGCTACAAACAATTACAGCTTCTCTGTTGCATTGAACAGTTTATAAGCAATCCATTTTGGATGTTTGCCAAAAGGAGGCAAAACGTCCAAAGACGTTATCAGAAACTATGAATTCACCTGATTCCTCAATAAAGGTTGGGTACGTTAAATTATTCCGGTCAGACATTAGAGACTCTTCTCACCTGGAGTGCCTGGATGACCATTTCAAATTCGCCTTAAAACATTATAAAAACACTGGAATTTTCTACTGAATGGGGTTTTGGAAATTTCACTTTTTTTTTTCCTTTATTGCTGAGAAGCCAAACATAGGTAATCAATATCAGTATTGAAAAACATCCGGTGACATTCAGACAGTTTCCCACTCCTTACGCAGGGGTGTCTGTTCTCTCCGCTGTAGACCCTCCAACCATCCTCTAACCTGCATGTGAGGGGGGACAACTTGAAGTCCAGGCTTTCTCCGTTGGCATAAATAATATTACTCTCTGAACCGTTTTGTGCAACTGTAATAGACCATGAAGAGGTTCAGGGTAACGGAGAGAACCTATGAAGAAGCTATCAGATTTGGTTAAAATCCCACTTTAATCCTAATTGAAAACACTATCTGTAACACTTATAGGACAGGTATCATAGTTATAAGTTATGTCTGATCCCTCCATAGTACGTTGGCTAGTAAATGCTACTTTACTGGAGCAAAAAAAGCCAAAGCAGAAAGACCACTAAAACCCAAAGATGTAAGCAACCCAGAAGTACAGAAGGAGCAAGAAGAGACTATACTGATGTCCAGCAGCATTTTGCGTGTATGGGTGTGTGTCTGTGTGGGTGTAGCTGTAAAGAAAAAGTAAGTCACAGTTGGGCCTTTCAGAGTAGAGTGTCATCTGTGCATCCTCCTTCGAGGCCGTAGCGAAACTCCTGCAGGTTGGAGACGCCGTAGAAATGAATAAACGCTGCCGCAACGACCAGGACATGGAAAATCTGATGAGAATGAAACTGAATAAAGGAAGACGCGAGAGAAAAAACAAAAATTGGTTAGAAATGCTGGGAATCATCAGAAAATCTCAGTGCATCTCCACTTTTTTCTGTGCCAATTTTAATGATTGCTCGTCATTTTCAATATTAAAACTACGCATACACACAATGAGCTTATCAGAATCATTATTTGATCTACTTCTTTTTATTCAGCAAAGTATAATTGATACTACAAATACAAACCAAGAAAGCAAATTCATTCAGGTAAAAACTAAGTGCTGTCTTTAACAGTTACCTGGATAACCTGGATAGCTACGCTTAAAGCCACTATGTGAACGTTTGACAAATGTCTACAATTTGACACTTACCCAGATGTCACACTTCCCGGGGAAAAAACGTTCTGGGATTCTGGCCGCATACAGACCGGCACCAGTGATGTACATGGCGCCCATCAGATAAAACCAACCCATCTGTCCGACTGTGGTGGCCTTTACGAATCCTTCCTCGATGGTGAAGTGCATGGTGGGGACAATGCCACTGAGTCCAAGACCCATGAACACGCCTGAGCAAAACAAAGGAACGTGCATTAAATAATTTCAGACATTAAAGAAAAAAAAAAAAGAATCAGCCATCTTTAACAACGTTTCCTTTGGTTCCCTCTGCAAGCACACAATCCCACTTGTGAAAAAATGAAGCCAAAATAAGAGCATCTGTGCGATAAAACCAGAATGAAGCCCAAGCAAAACGCTTCAAGACACAGCAGCATTATCCTCACCTGCTCTTGTTGGCCTGTGACGAGGGGTGGCGAATCGGTCCCACTGGGCCACTATGATGGCAGCGATGCCAAGAACACAAACGATGGTGAGGTAGATTAGTCGAGGCTGAGGGGAACAGTAGAAGGAGTAGTACAACCAGGGCACGAAGGAGCCCATGATCAGGAGGGCGATGCCCGAGTAGTCGAGCCTGGGGAGAGAAGGTGAGACGGTGACGATCGCAACGTCTCCAAATACTTTCTCACATCTCAGTTTATCAAACCAAAACAGATAGCTCTGTCTGGACCAAGCATGCGCAACTTAGATTTTCCAACACAAAGCAGGCAGAGAAGAAGAACGAGGCCAGGCAGACCCGTTTTGAACAGCTGGTCTGCAGGAGATTTGCTGTAATCCACACTTAATAATTCACTAAAAAGAGCAGAGGGGGCTGTAAATGTAAGACGCTGATGTTTTTATCTCAACAAATCAAACATCTTCGCTGTGGTTTGCAGATATTCATTTAGGCAAAACTCCGTCAGGGTTCCGCCGCAGCTTTTCGGTCATTTCATTTGGTTTCAGACTTGATACTCTGCTCGTGATCAGCGTCTTGTTGCGTGACCCACTTTGGGTCTAGCTGGAGCAGGCAGACAGATGGCCTCACATATAAGCACCGCTGTGCATCACAGTTGGTGTGAGGTATTTGTTCTGATACGCCGTGTTTGGCTTTCTCCAGATGTGATGCAGTGAATTTGCAGGAACGTTTTGGATGTTTGAGATGCACCTTTAGAAAACGTGAGCGATGCAGCCATGTTTCTGTTAGAGGACGGAGCTTTATTAAGGCAAACCTTCTGAACCTGTTTGTCGTTTTTCAAATTATCTTATACATAAAAATGTAACATTTACCGAGCAGTTACATAGTCTGATGTAAAATGAATGCAAAATTTAGTTTTTATTTTCTAGCCCCAAGAAGTTAAGAAAATTTCACATTTTTCCAAATAACCTTATTTGGATTGTTTGACCAACACAAAGTCATGCATAATAATAATGTGTACAGTTTTCCATTTTTTATCTTATAAAAATCTAAAAAGTGCGCTATAAAAATGTATTCCTGATGCTACTAAGTAAATCACAGAGCCTGTAATCAGTCCATCTGTGTGCAATTTTATTTATCATTTTCTTGCCCTTGTGTTAGTTTTTCCTACATCCTTACTTGGAGAATGTGCGAGAGACTTTTTCCGAGTGGCAGTAGACAGTATGAAAAAGCCAGGAGAAGCTGAGGCAGAGGACTGCTCCCAGGAAGAACATCCCAAACACAACCTTCTCCTGCAGAGGTGCCATAAAATACATGTTGGGGCGCAACATGGTTAAAGTGCCCAGACAAACGAATAAGATCCACCCTGAGGAAGGAAAGAAAGCTTTAGGATCTTCATAAAGTCCAGCATCAAAAACATGAGACTGTAAATGAGTTTTCATGCTCACCCAGCAGATGAGTCCAGATGTTTCCCGTCTCAGTGTGGATTCTGAAGATACTTCCGAAACAGGCCCTGAACGACGGCATCGGAGGTCGATGTCCGTGCAGCAGGTAATCGTTGTCCTTCAGCCAGTCGGGCAGGACATGAAAAGGAATGACCCTCCAGCGACCTTCCCACACCTGCAGGGCAGCAAGAATGATTACCTGAGCATAAAGGACTAGACCACATGTGAAGACAGGCTTCCTGGGTCAGTTTATTTCGTCCTCCAATCTTTTCCAAAGCAGAAACCTGGACCAGATGTTTATTTTTTTTTAATGTCACAATGTTTTACAGTCTTTCAGCATGTTGAATCCAGCAAAAATTGTTGAAATCTTTATTTAAAAAAAAAAAAAAAGATTTTAGCTTTTAGCATCTCACTAGAGAGAGAGAGAGCAACACTCTCATCAAATCTTTTTAACTAGTAAAGTTGGGATGTTTTACTGTATTTATGTTTATAGATTTAAATTGATGATTAGTTTTAGCTGCTGTGTTTTTATTGTTCCTAAAAAAAATACATCCAACAAACTTTAATTATTAAAGCTTTGCGGATTATTACAAACCTTTTCTGAAATAAAAGATGTTTTAATTCAGTTTCAGAGTTTAACTGAGTGAAAACCTACAAAAACGTAAAATGTGTTTTTAGATGGCAGGTATTAGTCCTGATCAGAGTGCTCCTCTCCCTTCCTGCCTCCTGCAAAAAGCTCTTTTAATTCAACGTCCGCTCTAGCCATGAATTAGGACGTCAACATTGCTGTTTTCTACCTTTTGTTTCTCTTTCCACGGTTTGAATTCACACGTGTCCAGTGTCAAAAGATGTGCAAAGTTTCCTGATTTATGAACAAACAGCAATCACTTGTAAAGAGCTTTTCTAAACTTCCTCTGAAAAATGTCTCAACCTCTCTTAAAACAAACTGACAAACAAATGTCACGACTTACAGTATTTAGTCACTTGAAACCACAAAAAGCTGGTAAACAATTATGTGCTTGTCAAGTTACCGAGGTAATCTGATGCAGCAGCTGCAATGCAGGTTTGACAGAATGAAGATAAACTAGTTTGCAGTTTTTATCTCATCTGAGAGAGTGAGAACAGGCAACATTTACTGTAACACCAGATCATCAATTTACTGTAAAATGGCATTAGAAAGTGATTCAACCACAGGATACAAACGCATCGACGTGAAGCCAACTGGTGGGTGAGCCGACCAAAATGAACATGGCATCACGTAACGGTTTTAAAATGGGGCCAGGCCGCCCTGAGGGCACCCAGGCTGCAGCGTTGGAGGGAGGGCCGGTGACGACGAGGGGGAAACTGGAACAGGCTGAAGCTAATTTGATTTACGAAGGCCAAATTTACGAGAGGGGCTTATTTCCAGCCGACCGCCCCAAAAAACACATTACTACTTATTTTGAATTTGGGCGGCTGTCACACTGATCCCGCAGCTTGCCATGCATGTTGAGATATCTAACAACACGCCTTACGCTGGTCTAACATGGTCTGAAATAACAATGGAGCATTATTTCTTTATGTGCCTCTACTTCGTAAGGCAGGTATGTTAAAACATGAAGGAAACCTTCGAGTCTGTGACTAAAAAGATGTTTTGATGTTTGAAAGAGATTTTTTTTTTGTCTGAAGCCTCATCGATAATTCAGTAATTTTACTAAGATTGTGAGCAGCTCACTTCGAACATGTGCCACAAACTTCACAAGCTGCAGCAAACTGATATCAGGCTGCATGACAACATTTACTAATTTTGTTTTTTTTATTAAAAAGGTAGATATGAATTAGTCAATATATATCTGGATATAATCTTTAAGCTAAAAAGCCCTGAGCGGTAAAAACATCTGAATAACCTAATCGATAATAACAATATTCTTACAGCCATTTCCTTTGGCCTTTAATCCACCTACACATCCTATCTGAGCCAATTTGTTACTGTAATGGAAAATTTTAGAATGCGCTCCTCACCCCTCTTGTGCTTTTTAGATTGTGTCTGATGAGATCATTGTGTCTGCATGATTTTATCATGAGATTGGCCAAACTGCTCTCGTATAGACCTCCACAGTGTGACGTAACAGCAGAGAATGTCTGTGATCCAGGAGACAATCGGGTTGATACTTCCTCAACCCAGAACTGAGGCTGCATTTCATACATTAAGTAACAACCTCCTTTCCTTAACAACAGACAAATGGCTAGGCCATCGGGGTTGGGCTCCACAGAATTGTTGGTACATAACTATCAGGGATTCACACCCATTGTCCAATCAAGTCTCTCTTCTCTGACCACAACCCATAAAAGGAAACCAGATCCACTGTTCATCAGAGCGGACTTGACAGACTCTTTGACTCTGTATTTCTGTTCTCACCTTGCAAGGTTTCAATACATTTCTTCAGACTCTTGTTAAAGCAATTTTTTTCCCACAACAGTTACCTTATGCACAAACTCCTCCATTTTCTCCATGGCATGATGAGCCTGAAGAGGCAAAGTCAAAACCTCGCCCACCTCGCCGTCCTCTTCTTCCTCATCAGCAATCATCGCTGCTCCCTTCAAACAGACGACTGTTCATGAGACACAGAAAGCAAACTTTTCTCTGGACTGTTGGCAAAAACACCAAAACAGTCCTACCTCCGGATGAACACCTTTACATGGCCCCTGCCGCCCCCCTCCCTCCTCCAGCAGCGGCCCGAGCTCCATCAGCTCAACATCTGGGACGCTGCAGTCCTCAGAGATCTGGCAGTCTGCATCACTGGCAGACCCGTTTCGGACTGACATAGGGAGACTGCCTGATGACCTGATCAGAGTCCTGTTTTCTGCTTCAGTCGGGACAAGGAAACTCCCTCCTGTAAACCCAGAATGACAGCGGTTAATGTGCTACACTGGCCTGTTATTTTAACACAACAAAGAAAAATACTACCAGGTCAGAGTAACTAGTTACATTTATACCAAAGGACAAATGTAACTGCATCCTAACCTTTGGAAGGTAAGGTTTGTATCTTGGTGAAAACCTCTAATTTAAGGATTATCGTCAATTATAAAAGTCGTTTCAGAAGACATTTTTTTCTGTTTCATAATACAAAATTTTTTAAAAGAACAGGGACTTAAATTGTATGACAATATTGTGTGGTACACTACGAAAAGTATTTTAAAACGTCAAAATACTAACTTGGTATAAAAATATACAGAAATATATAAAAAAAGTTTGTCTTCATATATAGAGAACTTATTACACCAAGTAGAGTTATTATTCTGCTAATCAGCACCGAATGGCAGCGATCAATCATATTTTTAAGCATGCATATAACATTCCTTGATTATTTTATAAGCTAGAACAAAGACAACATTGTGATTTGCAGACATATTCAACTAGACTTTGTTAACACTGAATTAATAATTCCTATCAGAACATTTTTCATACGTATGAAATAATCAACATAAGATCAGAATCTGCCCAGTTTTCTCTTGATTGTCTCAGGATAGATGATCAGCGAGTTAAAAAAATAAAAAGTCAAAGAAAACCCCAGCTGTTAAGTTTAGTAAAAACAACAAACAAAAAAAACCTAAAGGTCAGGTACACAAGAGTTTGTGCAACAATTTAGCTAAATCTTTAAATTCCCAATTTTTCTACTGCATTTAAAACCTGATATCCCTATCTTAAAACCTGCAGCACATTTTCCCCCTCTTTTTTATGTATAATAGTGCAAAGAAGAAAAAGGAAAATCAGAAATTGGGAGTCGGTAGGTCAGTTTTTAAAGGAGACCAATATCAGTCAAGAAAAGCCTGTTCAGTTCATTGTTAGTAAAACATACATGCATTTTCACACAGACAAAATCCTTTCAATGTCATAAAACAAGCATCATAAAACAAATTGTAAAAGGACGAGATCAGCTGTAATAAATACACATTCCTCCTCCCTTCTGTCTTTTTATCTGTATTTACTGTGATTTCAAAACTCTGTGATTCATTAGTTAACCAGGCATTATACATACGTAGATGATGAAAAAATGCAAGTTCAGTCAAGCGCTAAACAGTCTAAGATAACTAATCCAAGTCAGACCACAGATTCATACAGCACTCTCTTTAAATCAAGCTGAACTAGATTTTCAAGTCGAGTCGACTAACAAAAGGAGTTCAATCAATACCAGATCCAACCCACCAAATGTTCAAATCACAGGAGATTTTCAATCAACAGGAAAAGAAACTTGGCTTCTAATTTCCCCCTTTGCTTTATATCTTTACTTAGCAATAATACCCTTTTTTGTTGTTTTTACAGTGTAGCGTGGATTATTGTTCACTATTGTCCAAAGGCTACTTAACCCGACGGGATTGTTCTATATTATTATATTATGAGAATGATTTCTTAGGTGATGCTAGGTCTAATAAAAAGAACTAAACCTTCAGCAAAGTTAGTTTTAAGACTGGAGGCAAGCGACTTCCCGACGGATGTTGAATAACATCACAAAGCGTCTGACGGAACATGGAGAACAAAATGTAAACAACCCTAAAATACAGACGAAGTCCACCAAATGTGGGAATAATGTACAATTTGTAGCTTCTAATAAAAATATACAGAGTTAGTATATGCTGAGAGGAGATGAGGTGGATAAATCATCTAGTTTTTAACAACCTGATAAATATCTGGTTGCTAACGTTACCTGTTAGCTAACCGAGCTCCAGCAGCCGAACAGGAAATTGATTCTTTTTCAACGCACTGGGTGCCAGAAATACAGCGGTCCAAACACAACGGCAGCAGGCTACAGACTTAATTAAACACTCAGCGGGGTTAACACTGTCAACAAATATTAATTAAATGTCCCGAAGTTACCTGACGAGGAAGACTCCTAACCAGGAAGGTAAATTATTTATGGTTGTGCGAAACAAAAGCCACTTCCGGAAGTTGAAGTCTCTTAGCAAAGCTGAATCCTGTTCTGTTCTTCCAAAATAAAAGCCAAAATCAAAGTCGTTTATTTACGGCGCTGGCCAAAACATTGGTAGTTTTATTTAGAAAGATGTCCAGCTAGTTTATTTTGTGAGGAAAATGACGCAATAAAATTACACAAGATAAAACTGAATGACAACATCCGAAAACGAAGCTGAATGTGTCTGCATGTACATGACCAAAACTATTCATACCATTGGCAGATTTAGGTTTGAAATTACTTGCATTCAACCAATAAGTTTGTTTCTGATAGTAAACGAGGTAGGCATCTCTCAAAGATATTGAAATAATGTAAAAGGATTGTCAGTTTTCATGATATATATATATATTTAATTAAAAAAAAGGTGGAAGGCCTCCTGTAAATCACCCTAATCTGTAACTGTCCACAAATTTCCTACAAGATTTAACACGTGACCCCTCCAAAATGTTATTACCTCAGCCCAGCAGAAACAAGAAGGTAAATTTAAATAATCAAATTTTGTTTGTCACAATAAATATCAAAAAAGTTTCAAAATGACTTAAATTTTTTTTACAATTATATAAATAAAGTATGAACATGAGGGAAAGCACCATGGTCACTGTGAAGTATGGTGGAGGAGCTGCACAGTGTTTGACTTTTTCCACATTTTATGTTACAGCCTTATTAATTGTACTCAATTAACACACCAATTCTCCATTAAGAAAATGTGGAAAAAGCATTAGTTTTTCAGAAGTCTAATAATTGTGCAGTGTATTTTTAAATAAATAAAAAGAACAAAACAGAAAAACAACTTTTTCATTAAATCTAGTCAAATTAAAGCTTTTTTCTACATTTTGTAATGTGAAACTACTACTACTATAAAAAAATACATTTATTCTAAATCTTTTTACGTGTTTTATGAATGTGACAGAAGTGGTAGATTTACAAGTAAAAAAGTTAAGTTAAAAGCAGGGACACAAAGTTACTGCTACACATAAACGTGGGAGTAAAAAAAACTGGTTATTGAATTATTAAAACAGTATGATATACATTTAGTTTCTTTTTGTAGCACAATAAAAACAGAGTCAATATGGAAATAATTCTTTATGTGGAAAAATAATTTGGGTGTAATTTCTACCTGTCAATACATGTAAATAATCAGCTGTATGGTTATTACACTCATAAAAATTAGTTCCACATTCTGATCTAATGAATGAATTTCAGCCACCTTTAAATCCATTATTTAAACCATTTAACAATTTATATCAGTCTTTCTGAAACAGCTCTAAAGCCATGTAAGATTAAACGCACGAATAAATGAAGCCAAGTTGTGTTCAAACAATTTTTTTTTACTTCCACAGTAAAACCAAAATCACAGGTTTTGTTAAACAGCAAAACATTTACCACATATTAACTGCAAACACAGATAAATAGGAAAAAAGACAGTAAAAAAACAAGAGGCACACAAGGTAACATGATTGTGTTCTATTTAAAATACATATAAAAACAACAATAAAATAGATTTGTTCTACAAACTCTGGTCCATGTCTGCTTTGAGTTCAAGTTTGGCTTTGTGTGGTCTTTAGGGTGCAAATTACATTGTTAATCAACCACTGGTGGTGCGTAAAAAAGGTGAAATTAAAATGAAAACAAGAAAAAAACAACAACAACCCAAGGTAGAGTTAAAGCTTTAAGAATATGAATTTCAGTTTGACCTCTTAATAGCTGCCAAGAGATTCAGTTTTGACTTTGCTTCTGTTACTTTGCTGCTTTAGTCGTCACATGTTTAGGTTAGTACCTTGTTTTTACTATTTTAACTCAGTGGGTCAGTTATTCAAGTTAGCCAGTGCAGCCTAAAATACATATATATACACACACACACATTTTATATATATATATATTTATAACACACACACGCACACACATACACAACAAAGATTTCAATCTCAGAACACTCACTACAAGCAGCCCAAGCTCGTTAACTGGGATTATTTTATAAAAATATGTTTCTAATCTTTATTATTATTATTACATAGTGGATTATTTCCCTAAAACAGGTTGAAAAGGATGACATTATTTCACATCCACTAGAAAAAAGACAACTTTTCTTTGTACATCCTCACACAAACCTGAAATATTACCAACTAAAAAGGTTTAGTACCTAAATTTCATAATTCATGCTTCAGCTTTAAGGACATAAAGTTACAGCTTTGCTGACCAACAGCAAACAATTATTGTTAGTTTTATTGTCTTTATACACCACTGTATAGCTCTTCCACGAATTAAAGATTTATGTTTTATGACACAAACATTTCAGACTGAACAAGAGCAGCAGCAGCAAGACTCCATTCTCTTAACATGGCAAAAAAATTTTTTTTCAAAATGTTAAATCAAATCTAAACATCTGCAGCAAATTCAACTCTGCTGAGGAAATGTTGACCTTCTGCTGATTTCTGTTGGCAAGACGTTCCAACCTTTGTCCTCATTTTATGTGCGCAAATGAAACAAAGTGAGTAAACAGAATGGTAAAAATACCTTCTGACAATACAATTGATATTCAGACCAATGCATTGTGGTTCAACATGTAAAACTGCAGTCGGTGAATTAATCTCTGATCTTCACACTTGACTCATGTAGTGAGAGCCATTGTCTATCATCCAGTGCTGTGGAGCTTCTTCTGCAGCTTTATGCATGGCTCCTCTTTGGATAACCTTTAAAAGAGAAAACATTAAATTTATGTTTAAGGATCTGATAATGACAGGCAACATTGCATTAGCAGAATATGTGCTGCTCAGTGGAAGACCTCTCTGTTTCCAAGTATAATAAGCTTTTTTCAACATAAACTTTAATCTATAAAAAAAACTCTGATTACAATAAATCTAGAAAATAGGCCCACACACAAAAGCCACATTTTATTTATACTAGTAAAAAAAATAAAAGCTGTATTTTATATTTTATTTTTTCCCTTGTACTTTACATTTATGTCCTGATTTATGACATAAAATCCCAATAAAATACTAGGGACGCACCGATCCATATTCTTTCATTACTGATACCGATACATGAGTATATTTAGTATCGGCCTGTTACCGATCCGATACAGAAAAACAGCTGGATTGACTTAAAACGTTTCTTTTAGTAAACATTTAACAGTATACTGAATTACAAATTTATTTAATACTCTGCACACTTAAATACATCAAACAGCTTCACAAGATTGGCCAAACATGTAAAATCAACTTTAATTTCCCCAGCGCAGGAGTTTAACAGCCAATAAAGAAACTGACAAAAACAAGTCAAACATTTAAAAAATAAACTAACAAACCTTCTTTAAAATGATACAGAAAGTGCAATTAGGAATTCTAAATACAATGTAAAATAAATTTTAAAAAGCATGATGTCACTCAGAGCTCACATCATAGAATTAGACTGAATAGATCTGCCGTTATGGATCAGGTGCATTTTCACCGACAGCTGATCTGACTCCCCCCCCCCCCCAACAATATCAGGATCAATACAGATA